AGCCAGGTGTACGCCGCGCATGGGCTGGTGTTTGACATCGGAGTGGAGGTCAACGCGGCCGCCGTCGTACTGAACGACAACGCCGGTGCGCTGACCGATGGCGCGCTGCTGGAGCTGCGGGGGTCGGCGTCGTTTGTTTCCGGGTCGTGGCTGTCGGTGCGCGGCAACAGCGTCAGTGGCAGGCTTCTGTCGGTGCCGTCGTACCCGCGTGGTGCGGAGCTCGCACAAAGCACACTGACGCTCCACGGGAACGCCGGCAGTGGGCACGTCGTGATGGACGGCACCGTAGAGCTTGGGGGCGACGGCCGAAGGTTCGTCGTGGGGTGCCTGATGCTCAACGGGCAGGCGCTGCAGCCGATGGACTACAGGTCCGCCGGCATCATCGGGGAATTCCGTCCCGTGGCGTGTGGCGTGTGCGACGCCGACGTGAGCTGCTTTGCAGCAGCGACGAGGGCGATGTCGGTGTCGTGTCGCTGCCGCTGTGCTGAGGGCGGGTACGGGCGCGACTGTCTGCCGGTGTACCTGCCGCACGTGGACGGGTGCAACCGCACGCCTGTCCTGCCGTCGCTGAGCCACACGACGACGCTGACGGAGACGCGCAGCCTGACGCCAACGTGGACGCCGAGCCTGAGCAGGACGCATTACGGGTCGACGGAGACCCTGCAGATGACGGAGACGGTGGCGCTGTCGCCCACGCGGACCCCGACGGCGTTGGTGAGCAGCACGCTGTGGTGGAGCGATGTGGCGTGCCCGACGCTCGCCGTGACGACGACGGCAGCTGGTGGGAGCCTGACGCAGAGCGACATCCGCGGCGGTGGGAGCGCCGTCCCGACATGGCTGATGGTGGTGCTGCCGCCGCCGTTTCGGTGGGCAAGCGACCCGCAGCTCGGCACGCACCTGAGCTTCGTGCCGGTGTCGACGGCGCAGCCGAGCGGGTTTGGCGGTCCGTGGGGAGCGATGCTGCGCAACGCGACGTGGATGCGCAACGCGACGAATCCGTCCACCGTTCTGGAGCTGGCTGTGCCCGTGCACCGCGGTTACTTCATTGCTGCCGACGAGACGATAGTCATTCGCTGCGACGCTGTGGCGGTTTTCGGCGGCTGCAAGGGTGTGCTGCTTGGGTCCTTCACGATCAGGTCGAACACGTTGCCCGCTGCTGCCAGCGCCCTCTCGGCGATCACCGGCGTCGTTGCGGGTGCGGCGGCTGTTGCCATGGTGGTGACCGGCGGGCTGGGCTCCATCCTGGAGATGCAGGCACTTGGCGTGTTTGCGAGGGTGTCATGTGCCTCGTCGCAGGAGCGTGCGAGCACCGTTGCGCTGCAGTACTTCCTGTCGGTGTTCGCTGCCCGTGACCCGCTGTGGATGGTGTTGGGCAACGCGCTGCTTGCCGCTGTGTTCGGGTGCGTGCACTGCGGTGTGACGGCCGCCTTCCAGCGGTGGCGCGGCGTGGACGCGGCGAGTGCGTGGGCGGCGATGCGCTTCCCGAGCCTGACGTACGTTGTGGCGCACGCGATGCATCTCGGCATCTTCTTCGGCTCCGTGCTTGCACTGTCGATGCCCGACGCCCGCGTGCAGCACTGCGTGATTGGTGTCGTTGGCGTGCTGTACGGTGTGGCGTTCCCTGCTGGTGTGTGCTACTTGATTGCCCGCCACGTGGGTGCGAGCTTCACGAAGTACTGGCAGTTTTCGAGGAAGCCGCTTCATGAGCGCCTGCTGTACCCCGTCGGGTATTGGCACCCTGCGGCGCAGCAGCGGATGTACGGCGGCATGCTGACGAACATGAGGGGCAGTTACGTGTACTGGTGCATGTTCCAGCTGTCGGCGCTGTGTGTGGTGGGTCTGATTGCTGCTGTGCAACCGTCCGTGGGAGGCTGCCACGTCCAGTACTTCTGCATGGCGGCTGTGCTGCTTGCGGGCGCGGGCGTGGTTGCCTTCACGAACATGATGCGCTCGGCCTTCCTGACGGTGACGCACGCAGCGAGCTTTGTGCTCCTTTCGGCGCTGTGCGTGATCAGCGCGGCCAACCATCTTGCGCCGAGCGACGGCGGTGCGAGGGCGTACGTGGCTATCGTGCTGCTGCTGACCATTGTGCTGCTTGCGATCACTGTGTGCAGCGTCATTGTGTGGTACTTGGAGGACCGCCACTGGCAGGAGCTGCGCGAGCCGCGGCGTGGAGGGCTGGAGGCGCTGCTGCGCGATGGCGAGGAGAGCGACGAGGACACGCAGAAGCCTCACGACATGACGTCATCGTCGTGCGCCTCAGGCACCATCGTTGCGTCGTCGTACCGACCACCCGCAGCGCTGTTGCAGCCCGTGGCCGGTGACACCCGCTCAGACGCCCTGAGTCTGATCGACGGTACACCCGATGCAAGCTGCAAAATTAATTATGCCGCTCTGGACAGATGAGGATGGCTCGCTGGACGAAAGATTTATCGCAGTTTCTCATTTTTGAGGTGGAAAGGCTCCGCCCCCCCAACAGTACCGTTACGCGGCGAGAAGACACAAAGCTCTCGCAGATGCGGCATAACGTGGATGCGTCTGGCAGGGATCTTTTCTCTTTCCATTATTCATTGATTGATTGGGTGATTGGTTTGTTGCTTTTAATTTATTTTATTTTATCGATTATCGATTATCGACGACAGCGGATTATCGCAATATCACGCTAGCCCGGGGCGGATGCGTAACGTGTGTGTGTGTGCGTATGTGTTTTGCGGCCGCCGCTGCAGCACCGAATATGGAGACTGTTGCTCTCTCTCTTTCATATCTGTACTCTGTAGTGAGGACGTGCTCGACGATGGTGTTGGTGCGCGGGCCATAGGATGCATTCAGGAAAGCGTTAGGGAAAACAGTCGATGAAACCCTTCTGTGACGCGTCACCTCCTGGAGGTTGTGAGTGTGCGTTGCTGGCTGAAATGAGGAGAGGGCGTGGGGTGCCACGGCTGTGCGGCTGCGCGGCCACTCATCGGACTCTGAAACGGCATTGTCGCCGTTTTTTCCGTGCATCGTTTCTATTTTGTCCATATGTTTGCATGACTCTTTCTTCTGTTTCACGATGACTGGGTGGGAGGGCATGGTTGTCGCTTTTTATACTTCTGATGTTGTGTAGAAAGAACAACGAGAGAAGGAACGGGGAATCATGCGGAATGATGTACTTTTTGTGGATATATATATATATATATGTATTTGTTCTGCAGGTTAGGTCTTTTCTGTCGGCAAAGGGTTTTAAAGCATCTCATTTGAATTTGCCTTTCACGACGTCTCTAACGATGCCATTAAACATATGACACCAAGCGAGGCACTGCGAAAGCATCTGGAGAATGCACAACTGGCGCCCCGTGTGTGTGTTGCCAAGGCACTAGAGGACGAGGAGGCAACTGTGGAAAAGTACGCCTTGACATGAGGCGATGTGCTTACTTGCTACCAGGCATGGGCAGAATACCGCCCGCCTTTCGGGATAGCTTGGTACAGTCAAATTACGAAAAGTACTGGACGAGAAAGCGCCAGGTGGAGGATGATAAGAACCCATTCAAATAAGAGGGGGGAAGGGAGATGCATATGTATAGAGAGGGAGGGAGGGAGAGCAGTAATTGTGGGTTTATGCGTGTATTTTTGTTTGGGGCTGCTGCTGATTTTTTTGAATAGCGTGGCTACGCAGTATGCAGTTGGCACCCACATTTTTTATTATTAGTGGACAGATGGATTTAACACAAGGCCGTGAGGCGAAAAGAAAGAAAGAATGAAAAGAAAATTAACGACGGTAGCAGATGAAAGAAACAAATATATATACATGGGGTTTGGTAGTATTATTGCTCCTAGCGGAAGGACCCACCTACATGCGATAGGCCTTTTTTCATTTTTGTTTTACCGTTCTGTTTACATTCCTTTTCGCCCCCCCACCGCCATCTTTTACCGATGGGTATTTTCAACTTACTTTTGTATTTCTCTTTCTTTCTCTTTTTCTCTTTGTATATTTTTATTTATTTATTTGTTTGCTTCCTTTGTTGCATTCTTTTTCTAACTTCTTCTCTCCCGGTAGTTTGGCTAATTTCATTCCCACACACATACACAAAATGCCATGCAAGCACCCCTGATATACATCTCTTTTTATTTTATTTGCCTGTTGTTGTTGTTGCTGCTGCTGCTGCTGCTTGCAGTTATTTGACCAGCGCATGCACCCACATTTTTTCCCCTTCTTTTTCTTTTTATTTGTTTGGGCCTTAACGTCTTTTGGGAGTCGCAGCACCTCCTGTAGGGGGGGAGGAGGGGAGCACCCTCGTCACGTCCACCACTTCTTTCAGTTTGGCCTGGCGTCTTTTTGTTTGGTGCGAACAAAATCCATCGTTGATAGCATCCCGTTGCACGCAAGAGTCTTATCAACGGCACACAGAAACCCACGAGGAAGGGTCGCTTTTCTTTTTTTCTGTTGCGTAAAGGAGCCCACTTTGTCCCGTCACACTGTGTGGACGGCTCCTTTGTTGTGGTTGCACCGTCATGACTGTGCGTATTTTTCTTTTTTCCTCTTTTTATTATATTTCTTTTTTTTTATATTGTTGCTTAGTGTTCAGCTTTTAACTTAATCCAACTGGGAAACGAGGAGAAACAATGCCTGGAGAGCGCAAGAGAATGCACTGCGATGATCATGCCTAGAGTCAAGCGTCTACTGTGCCGCAGGGAGATCTTCAGAAGAAAGAAAGGCCGGAGTTCCATAGCGAAATGGATCAACCCGCCGCGACCCACATAAGGGTGGAGGAAACGCGGCGACCAAAGTGGACTTGTAACAGTCGGCTGGCTGAAGTACTGCTGGAGGGAAAGGAACGCATCACCAAAATGTGGCTGAATGATTTTCTTCGGAATTATTTTGACGGCAGGGGCGTTGAGGAATTCAATGAGAACGTCTACATGAAGGACTTTTTAATTAGCCCCAGTGAGTTCATCCAAGAAGGAATGTTATTGAGGGCAATAAAGGCATCGCCGCCATAATACCAAGAACTGAAAAAGAGCGTGAGGAGTTTTACATACTGTTGGAGGCTTCAAATAAGCCTAAAAAAGAATTTATTGTCACTCTCAGGGAATGGAGGGACTTTAAAGGAAAGGATACGGTCACTCCTCCTGCAATGGCACAAATAAACACAGCCTGCTCTCAGGTACCTGAGAGGAGAGAGGCAGGAGGAGGAAGAAAGGGCAAGGCGAGAAAGAAAATAGCTTGGAATTGACGTTTCCACTATGATTAAAGATGCGGTGTTTGAGGGAAGGGTTCACGTGAATAAAATGGAGCTGAATGACTTTCTTGCGATTGAATTGGACGGCAGGGGCGCTGTGGACGCCAATCGGAATGTCTTGCAGGAGGAGTTTTTCGAGGGCCTCAAGAAGTATATTTGCGATGCGGGAGTATTGTGCGAAATACAGGCATCGGATTGTTCTGTGAGGATGGAGAGGGCTGTAAGGGATGAAATGGATATGGAGGAAGATGTACACAAGCTTGACGAGAATGACGTGGACAATTTACTGAAGTGGTTGGTGGCCGCTGCGGAGGTAAAGGCAAGTGTTCATGTAGCCACCAAACAGTTTTTGGATGCAGCCGCCGAGGAAGCGAGGAATCCAACGACGTCGAGTGCACCGAGATGCCTGGAGGGATGCTGCGAGTCCGTGTACGATGCGAGGTGGCATCATGTCGTGGAAGTTGTTGGCGGCGAGGGGACTGGAATTTATGTGAGGGAGGGTGAGCCACCGCAGTCATGGACGTACAAGACAGTTGGCGAGTCCCTCGAAAGGGATGACGGTGTGGAGCAATCCGGTGCACCGCGTCCCAGACTGATGGTGCTCGCCTCGGACAAGGGAAGGGCCGTACTCGTGGAAATGGAAGGAGAACAAATTCACTCGTGACTGCTACGTGAACTGTGAGGTGGAGCGAGTGTGGCGGATCGTCAAGGGCGATATAACCGAATTGGTTCAGCACTGACGGTGAGCCCTACTTTACGCCTGGGCGGCGTGTGTTGACTGGGACGCCCGGGATCGGGAATTCGATGGCTGCCGGATCGTACCTCCACTACCAGCTGCTGCACGGCGATGTCGAGAAACTCCAATTTGTTGTCTACAGTTTTGGTGGAAGTACGAAGTAATTGTGTGACAAGGCCATCAAGACGGTGACAAGATACGTGGGTACAGGAGCATCCACGGACGCTTTGTGGGGTTTGTGGGATTGTGTGATGAAAGGGCATATTACCTACGATGTGACAGAGAAAGGGACACCGCCAGCGAGCTATTTTGTGTCTAGCACCGGATGGGGCATGATTGTGGTGTCACCCCAAACGAGGGCAGCTGTGATGAGTGGGAGACGCAAGCAAAAGCCGAGCGAATCATCGTGAATTGCCCTGACGAGATGGATGTGAAGGCGATGTGTGCATGGATGGAGCGCGATGGGACTACGGATGGGCAAGCGGAATACTGGAAGATGGTCGAAGAACGCATGGATAAGGTGGGGCCGATTCCACGTTACGTCTTTGATGCCAATAAGTTTGTTGCACACTCTGCTGCCATTGAGGATGCCTTGGATGGGATCAATTCCCGGGACGGTGAAAAGCACTTTACACATCGGGGAGTGAGACTGTGGTATTCTGGGGATCCGCCTCAAAAACTTGTGAGTGTTGTCAGAGCAAGAGGAGAAGTCGGTGCTGAGGTATTTCTTAACGCACCGATATCTGTTTGCCTCGGGCGTCGAATAGCGCACCATTTTGGGAGACGCGATGAGTGATGGGGATTTAGTTCTGTTGCTACTATTGGGGAAGAGGAATACTCTTTCTTCTGAATGTATGGAGGGGTTTGGCTTGCGCGCATTCATGTTTGGGGTGAGTTTGTCAGTGCATTAGTAGAGGAACTCAAGGAGCTGAGGCCACCAGCACGTCGTGGAGGACAGTACGCAGTGCTGAAGGCGATCCCTGAATGGCACCCCGCCGAGTTGTATGTGGATCGGCTGCAATGGAATACCATACAAATAATGCTATAAAGCATTGGGTGCTGTGCATACCGGCGGGTGCAGGCTTTCTGCTGGTGGACGCCTTTTTTCCTTCGTGGAGCCAAATTCAATGACGCTGGTTGGGCTGCGGATGGCTACGGTGGGTGGGCATCACACCACCGCCAGCACTGCGAGGCAGTTCACTGAGCACCTGGCGGCGTATTTTAATGGCTGGAAGGAATTATCCCGAGACATGTCGTGGGAGATTATTTATGTGCAGCACGCCGATGAATAACAGGCGGAGACGTGGTGTCGTCAATGCCAATAGTGTGAGCGACGGTGAAGGCCGTGAAATGGCGGGGTTCTGGAGGGAAAAGGTGCGCCAGTACCAAGTGTCAATATCATCCGGAGACTTTGGAGGAGACGCAGCTCTCCGAAGTGAGGAATAACCACG